TCGGCCGTTGCGGGGGCACATGCACCCCTGTACACTCCCTACCAGTCACCTAAGTCAACTATAGCCAGTACCCTATCTCTCATCCACAGTCATTACTGCTCTGAGACTAATGGGGGATAACTTGGCACCTTCTAATATACTTGTCACTCCTGACCATGCTTCATTTGGGTCCCTACTGACACTCCACCTGCCTTAGAACACCAGAGGCAAACACCTTTTCTGCTCTGGCTTCACGAATGCATTTCCCTACCATCCTGTTACAGCTGCGGAGGCAAAGCCAATTAACTGGCTTTCCAGGTCCCAGAGGACTGGAAAAGAGCCAATGTGGTCCCCATTTACAAGAAGGGGAGAAAGGAGGACCCAGGTAACTATAGGCCAGTCAGTCTTACCTCGGTCCTTGGGAACACCTTTGAGAAAATTATCAAGGAACACATCTGCGGGGGCCCAGCATGGGAGGTAATGCTCAGGGGCAACTAACACGGGTTCAATGTGGGCAGATCCTGCCTAACTAACTTTGTTTCTTTTTACGATCAGGACACAAAGTCCTTGGATGTGGGTGTTGAGGTGGATGTCGTCTAGCTGGACTTCAAGAAGGCCTTTGACACTATTTCTCACCTCATTCTCATAAAAAAAACTAGGCAACTGCGGCATTGATGCCTACGCAGTCAGATGGGTGGCAAATTGGTTCAATGGTCGCACCCAGAGAGTTACAGAGGTGGGCGGATGAGAATAGGATGGAATTCAATGCAGACAAGTACAGGGTACTGCATTGAGGGAGAAGGAACCAGCAACACACCTATAGGCTGGGGAATACCCTTCTCAACAACACAGTGGCAGAAAGGGATCTTGGAGTCATTGCTGACTCCAGGATGGACATGAGCCGCCAATGTGAGGAAGCGGTCAGTCAGGCTAACCACACCTTGTCGTGCATCTACAGACAAGCAGGTCCAGGGAGGTGATCCTCCCCACTATGTGGCACTGGTCAGGCCGCAGTTGGAGTACTGCATCTAGTTCTGGACGCTGCACTTCAAGAGGGATGTGGCTAAGCTTGAGAGGGTCCAGAGGAGGGCCACTCGCATGGTCAGGGGGCAGCAGACCAGGCCCTATGAAGAGAGGCTAAAGGGCCTGAATCTATTCAGCTTCCACAAGAGAAGACTGAGAGGGGACCTGGTGGCCATCTATAAACTCACTGGGGAGACCTGCAGAAAATAGGTGAGGCTCTGTTCTCCTCTGTTCTGGGCACCACCTGGGATAACAAGAAATAACAGCCACAAATTGATTGAGAGCAGGTTCAGGCTTGATATCAGGAGGCATTACTTTATGGTTAGGGCTGCCAGGCTCTGGAATGGGCTCCCAAGGGAGGTGGTGCTCTCGTCTACCTTGGGGGTCTTCAAGAGGAGGTTGGATAGATATCTGGCTGGGGTATTAAGGTATCAGCACTCGTTCCTGCCCAGGGCAGGGGGTCAGACTTGATGATCTGTTCAGGTCCCTTCTGGCCCTAGAAACTATGAAACTAATCCTCAACAGGCATTAGGCCACAGTGGCAGAAACTTGAGCAGGTCTTCCAACTTCCTTGGGAAGATCTGAACATTAGAACTAGTTGGATATTTTCTGATGAAACCAAGTTTTGCCAGAAAATTACAGTTCTTTAAGAATTAGAATATTTTGTTTGAAGCTTTTTGGGTTTGATCAATGGTTGAAGAATCAAAGATTAGACTTCCAAGGGTTCCTGCCTAGGTTGCTGGTAGACTGCCCCAGAGGCAAGGAACTGCTGTTTTCAAGGTCTGTGGCTCTAGGGTCCAACGAAATTAGGGTTTCTAGGTTCTCAGAAGGCTTGAGTATAAAGAAAGCCCTGACACTAACTGGTGCCATGAACTCAAGGATCTCAGGCAGTTAATCAGCAAAACCAAAGTTTCCCAGGTTCACGGAGCTGATGGAACATCTGGGGAGTACATGTTGTTTCAGAAACATGTTAGTATTTCCTAAATGAGATTTTCCTCAGGATTTCTTGTTTCAAGGAAATTTAAGAGCATTTTCAGTTTTAATTTGATTCAGACAGAAACCAATAGTCAACATTTTTCCACCCCTCTGAAATGTCCTGTAAAACAGAATTCCTACTTAATGGCCAGATTGATAGACGTGTTATCACCTAAAAAATACCCAGACACAGTATAAAGGGCAGCGGTGACACCTGTCCCTCCCACCTTCCATTTATTCTTTCCAGGGCCATTCAAGAAGGCTGCTTCACTCAAGATCTCTCTGCTAGTTTTTTAAAATTGTTTTGTACACTCCTTGTGAGTTAAAGGATAGTTTTTTACCATTTGGACTCCTTTCATAGAAATAAGAAAAATAAATTATCATCATCACAAAGCTCTGATCATGTGTTGCAAATTCTAATAATATCTCAGGGAAAGTGTTCAGGATTGAGGGTCATCTAAGGGAACAAGCATGAGGTCAGCAAGTCAGGGTTCCTAAATTTTTAACCCTTGGTCTGACACTTGCTTGGCTTATGGCCATGAGAAAATTTTAACTTCTCCATGCCTCAGTTTTGCAGCCTTCTAAAGGTGGTTAATAATTGGTTTTTGAGCATACATTTGTAACAGTTGTAAAGTTCGCCTAGCTGCAAGCCAAATAGGTGAGCTGTCCTTAAGAGCTCTGCAAGAAAAGGGCAGCAAAAACTTTGCAGAGGGTGCATAAGCTTTATCAGGTAGAAGAGAATGCAGTACATGGTACATGCTTTTTATTGTGACCAGAGCCCACATTGCAAACCAGGGCCTCTGATTGGCTGCTACTGAACCATAAAAACTGAGGGAGGGAAAAAAAGAGAAGAAGCTGGGGAGGAGCCAACTCCAGCCCTGGAGAGAGGGGATACAGACTCAGCCCCCAGCCAGGAGAGACCAAGCTGAAACTTGCCAGGGAGCAGGCATCAGGACAGGCATGGGCAACTGGTGCCTCCCAAGTCTGGGGGGACACCAGATCACCAATGCGGGGGTGGAGGGGATCCCCCAGCATCTGATCCCCAAGCCAGTGGCAAAACCAGAAGTGCAATTCCGCTGGCACTTCCGGTTTCGCAGCTGGTGCTTCCAGGGGGTGCATGGCCAATCTCAGGTGATGCACGCGCACCTGCATGCACCCCCTATGCGTCGCCAGTGTGGACAGGTGAGAGCCTGTGTCATCCTGTGAGAAGCTGATTTCCCACTGGGTTGGGAGCTGTGCAAGCAGGGTCACAGGTGCCAGGGAAAGA